ACCCCCTGTAAGCTAGGCCTCTTGGGCTAACCCATTACCCAAACCCTGAATGCAAAAGAAATATCCTTGACAGTAACTAAGAATGCTACTCCAGTGAACAAACCAGTGATGTGATAAGAAAGCAAAATTGCTTAATGGTCTGGAAAGATCAAACCAGCCACAGCATTCTGCTGAACAAAAGCCTAGTCTACAGCAAGGCCCTCATTCTCCTTCATTCTGTGAAAGCTGAGAGATGTGAGGAAGCTTCAGAAGACAAGTCCAAAACTAGCAGAGGTCGATGTAGGAGTTTTAAGAAAAGAAGCTATCCCCACGGTATAAAAGTACAGGGACAAGCAGTGAGTGCTGATGTAGAAACTGCCGTAAGTTGTCCAGGAGATCTAGCTAAGATCACTGATGAAGGCAGCTACACTACACAATGGATTTTCATTGGAGACAAACAGCCTTCAATAGAGGATGCCATCGAGGACTTTCATAGCTAAATAAGAGAATTCCTGGCTTCAAAGTTTCAAAGGCGAGGATGACCTTCTTAGGGGCTAATGCAGCTGGGGACTTTAAATTGAAGACATGGCTCATTTGAATTATGCTACAACTGCTCTACCTATGCATGATGAACAGCACAACAAAACCTGGATTAGAATATTTGTTTATAACGTAGCTTACTGAGTATTTTAAGCCCACTGTTGAGCCCTACTTCTCAGGAAAGACTTCTCTTAAAGTAATACTGCTCATTGAAAATGCACCTGATCATCCAAGATTTCTGATAGAGATGAACAAAGAAATTAATGTTGTCTTCATGCCTGCTAACATAACATTCCTTGTGCAGCCCATAAATCAAGGAATAACTTTGACTTTCGAGTCTTATTATTTCAGAAGTATAAAGCTATAACTGTGATACCAATGGTAATTCCCCTGATAAGTACTGGGTAAAGTCAATTTAAACCTTCTGAAGAGAATTCATCATTGTGGGTGCCATTATGAATATTTGTAATTAATAAGTGGAGGCCAAAATATCAACATTAACAGGAGTTTACAAAAGTTAATGCCAACCATTACAGATGACTTTGAGGGTATTCAGCACTTCAGTGGAAGAAGTAATGGCAAATGTAGTGCAAGTAGCAAGAGAGCTAGAATTACAAGTGGAGTCAATTTAGTCTTAGAGCTAAAACTAAATTACTGCAATCTCATGACAAAACCTTGGGGGATGAGGAGTTTCTTCTTACAGATGAGCAAAGATGGTTTCCTGAGATGGAATCTGCTCTTGATGAAATTTGTGTGAACATTGTTGAAAAGTCATCA